TTCTTGCTCTGATTTCCTGAAGGTAACAATGGCTTTTCTTTGCTCGGAAAGTTAGCCTTGAGTCACTCCGTGGGGAAAAAAAGGATAAACCAGGGGAAATAGAAACTCTCTGAAGGAGGAAATAAATGAGACAAGGACATAAGCAACTGGAAAACACAGTGGAAGGATGCACTCAAGGCTGGGTGGGGTGGCACCGTCCTCAACAGTTCAGAGCGTTTCAGCTTTCTAGCTATCCCTTTTTGCAACTGGTCCCAAAATGCACATTTTTCTAGACCTGGGCTTTGGGTTTTTTTCTCAAAACACCAACAGCTTGAGTGATTCACACTAGATATGGGCTCATAAATGCTCAGTGAAGATTATCTAGTTCATCACAAAACATGTAAATGTAATTCACACAATAATATGTATTATAAAAGGTAAGAACAGTTGGGTACTGGTGGCATGCGCCTTTAATCTCAGCACTGGGGAGGCAGAGGCAGGTGGATCTCTGTGAGTTCAAGGCCAGCCTGGTCTACAGAGCTAGTTCCAAGACAGGCTCCAAAGCGTCACAGAGAAACCCTATCTCAAAAAAACAAAAAACAGAAACTAAAGCAAAAGGTAAGAATGGCTTGGAAATCAATATGCCATTGGAGATGCCATGGTGCGTGGCAGCAAACCACGCTCAGTGATGGCCAGACATGGCAAAGACTGGGCACCGTGTTAGCTAACATGCTCACTTGAAAAGGCCTGGCTGGTGAAGAGGTTCAGGCCTAAAGTGCTGAGGCGCTTGGTGTAGGGTGCAGGGTTGGTCTCTTGGAGCAGTGTCCCTGCAGAGTAATTTCATCCTCAGCTACCACCTTGAGGGTGTGGCTCTGGCCTGGTGCGGTGATCCTGTCCACATGTCTGTGCTACAAAGAGGGCAAATGACCTGGGTGTTTGGGCCTCAACTTTCTTCATCCTCAGATCACACAGAGAAAGGACTGTGCGTGGGTTTTCTTAAGGAGATGAAGATGATAACAACGAAGCATTTACAGATGTGAACACCAGCCCTTTGTTGCTGCCCCGTGGGTGTGAATGCGTGGGCAAACGCTGTGTGAGAGGATGTGTGTATGGGGGGCGGAGACAATTGTGGGTGTCGTTCCTTGTGATTCAGGCCCTGCCCACCTTTTTCTTCTTCTGTCAACTCTATGTATGAGGAGGTCAGAGGACCAGGGATCCAACTCAGGGTTCCAGGCTTTGAGGAAAGAGCCTTCACTCCTAAGACATCTCACTGGCCCTGTGCCCACCTTCACTGGCCTGACCCTCACTACAGAGGCCAGGCTGGCTGGCCGAGAGCCTCAGCCATGCAGCTGTCCCTCCCTCCCTGTCCTAGGATCATGATGTGGGAGTGATTTCTTATTAATAAAGAAACTGCCTAGACCCATTTGATAGGCCAGCCCTTAGGTAGGCGGAGTAAACAGAACGGAATGCTGGGAGAAAGAAGCTGAGTCAGGGAGTCGCCATGGTTCTCCCACTCCAGACAGTCGCAGGTTAAGATCATTCCTGGTAAGCCAGCTCGTGGGCTACACAGATTAATAGAAATGGGTTAGATCAATATGTAAAAGCTAGCCAATAAGAAACTGAAACTAATGGGTCAGGCAGTGTTTAAAAGAATACAGTTTCCGTGTAATTATTTCGGGTAAAGCTAGCTGGGTGGCGGGACACAGCCCGCCGCTCCGTACTACAACAGAGTGGTGCCCAACGTGGGGCTAAATCCACTTAAAAACCTGAGAAGGCTTAAAAATAAGGAAAAGATAGCTTTTTGCTGTTTGTGGGTGGCGTGCCACAGAGAGAAATTGTCCTGACTCAGCAGCAGGAAAAAACTGGCTGTTTTAAAATGCCGGCTTTCTGGGCTGTGCCGCCATTACGATCTCTGTCTGGCTCCTGTGGGAGACAGAGCTTTTAAATGGAACATTTGGAGTAAAGCTCTACGGCTTGCTTGATGGCAATGTGGACTGCTGTGTGCCTGGAACTGTGTGTGGCTCAGGGGCACCAAATGGCTCTAAGGCAGGAGCGGCTTGGCTCAGCTCTGCCATGCTGAACTGTGCTGGTCTCAGGCAGAAACTACCGTAATTACCATAAAAACAGCGCATTTAAGGTTTCAACTGGGCAGGACACAGGCGGTACCGTATTACCTGTACATGGTGCAACTTAAGTTTTTAAGAACTGCTTAACATTTTAAGAAATGCTCCTGGATAGTAAAAAAAATGTTACAGATTCACAATAAAACAGATTCAGACATAAAAGACCACAGTGTTGGATGAGTGTACGTAGGCTTGAGAGAGAGAAGAAAAGAATATAGAGAATAAAGTTAATGGTTTAAAAAAAAAGGTAAAGTCTTTAAAGAGACAGAGTACAGATAGTTAAGAGATTAAAAGAAATAAAGAAAAATAAGCCACGTAAAAATGGAAAATTCACAGAGAGTCTGGATAATGTACATTGTGTTTTCTTTAAAATTTTTGACTGTGAAGGAGCTAAGTACAGAGAGACATTTCATTATATGGACTGCCAAGTGTAACCAGAACGGATATCATGAGGGTATGACTTCAAAATTTGGGTCTAAGGATATGATGCTTTGGAGAGAGTCTTCTTTTGTTTTCACAGAGGATGAGACTCTATGGATTTTTTCTATTACAATTTGGTATGATAGACCACGCCCTCCTGAAAGGTTGTTGTGAACATCTTCAGAAAATTGCTTCGCTCAACTGCCAACTAAGATGAAACTAGCACACAGGTTATACCATGAAAGGCCTAATTAACGACGCCCCCATTCAGCAGGAAGCAGTCTGGAGAGAAAAACTGCGCCCATGTTCCCAAAATATTGTTTATAAATGTTCTTTTACATTTAAAGGGGGATATGATATAGGTATGAATAATTTGCATTGGTATGGATTTTAAGGTCAATTTTGTTATATGTATATGTATTTTTGATCTTGAATAAGGTGGGATTGTGTAGTTCATTTTTAAAATGTAATGTATAATTAGGAAATATAGGTTGTTGATGGATAATCATAAATAATAGTCAAGTTTGTAGTCATGTTACTTAGATTTTCTAGATATATAGAGATATATTTCAGATAGGCATTCTTCATATCTCTCAAAGGCTGTAGAATATGGCATTTAAAATATTTTAATAACTTAGGACTTTTCATGACAATGAGACACGTCTGCTCCTGGCAGCACCAATCTACTTCGAGAGAAAGATGGGCATCAAAGAGGATCCTTATGGAGTTTGATAGCCATTTGGGCAAGAAACTGCTCTTGCCTGGACTGTTGCATAAAATGGACACAGAGAACCCGCAGAGAGAGGACTGCTGAACTTGCCTAAAGGTGAGATGGTCTTTCGGGGTTCATGACTCATGAAAGAGTCTGCGAGACATTCTACAGGACACAACAGATAATGACTAAACTGTCTTTGGAATTTCCTGCTTCATGAAAATGTCTGCTGGATACTTTGGGCCTGAAGGCTGAAGATGGATGCCCCAAAGGTACAAAAGAACTTTGGGTGACTGTCCAGGCAGCAAGATGTCTCTGTCATTTCTAGAGTTTTCTTATTTCTTGTTTACTTAGGTAGTATTATATCCTTCTGGAGTCTTTGATGGAGTTGAAGAATGAATAGATAGTTATAGTTTTCCTTAGTTATGATAAAAGATAAAATAGATATAAATATTGTAACTGTAATTCTTGCTTGATAACTGTTTTGCTATATGTAATTTTACTATGTTAAAGTTAAAGCCTTTCTTTTTTGTTTAAACAGAAAAAGGGGAAATGATGTGGGAGTGATTTCTTATTAATAAAGAAACTGCCTAGACCCATTTGATAGGCCAGCCCTTAGGTAGGCGGAGTAAACAGAACGGAATGCTGGGAGAAAGAAGCTGAGTCAGGGAGTCGCCATGGTTCTCCCACTCCAGACAGTCGCAGGTTAAGATCATTCCTGGTAAGCCAGCTCGTGGGCTACACAGATTAATAGAAATGGGTTAGATCAATATGTAAAAGCTAGCCAATAAGAAACTGAAACTAATGGGTCAGGCAGTGTTTAAAAGAATACAGTTTCCGTGTAATTATTTCGGGTAAAGCTAGCTGGGTGGCGGGACACAGCCCGCCGCTCCGTACTACAACAGGATCATAAGAATGGTCCATCACACCTGTATTTATTGATGCGGGTTCTTGGGGGTCCTCGGCATGGTAGTGACGGCATGGCCTCCCCAGCCCGCTTCCTTGCTTTTCATTTGAAATCTAACCGGTTTGTTAATGGAGAATTTTACACATCTGGGGCAGATATCCGAAGCCTTGAGGAAAGACCTTGTGTGTGTGTGTGTGTGTGTGTGTGTGTGTGTGTGTGTGTGTGTGTGTCGGGGGTCTGTGGGTTGAACTAGGGTCCAAGAGGAAAACAACCTAAGTTGCTAAATTGTATTGCATCTCAGTAAAAGGCCTTTCTAATGTGTGCTCACAGACAATGGATTTTGACTGTAGTGCAGCGCCTTGTCCCCTAGGAGTATAGAGCTGTGTTCTGACAGAGGAAAGAACAAAACAGGAAGAAGAAGGGAGAAGGGACAAGGGTGGCAAAGACTAGCATGGCTCTCGCGGAATACAAGAAGCAGGCCAGGCACAGACACTGCGGGTCACGGAAACTGAAGTTTTTTCAGAAATGACAAGGGGAACCACTTGTCTTTCTACAGCTCGTACTCAGGTAACACATAGTAAAAATAATGCCGCTTAGAGGGAATGAGGTAGAGACACAAAAGGAGGAGTCGAGAGGCAGCCGAAGGGTGTGCTGAGCGGCATTCTGCCAGCGAGGCTTTGAATCCCAAGAGCTCAGCTGGAGCTGGGCTGCGGCCGTGGCCAGTGGAGGCTAGGAGCATGGTCGCCATGCTCATGGGGGGGGGGGGTGAAAGCAGGGAGCTATGCAACTGGACAGAAGGCGCTGGGGGTGGGCGGGCGGCAGATGCAGAGAACAGTTACCAGACGAGAAACCTACCCACCTCTGCCAGGTTGTCCCCCGACTTGGGAACAGCAGGAGGGTCGAGGAGCATACTTTCCGCATGGATTCTGCGTAAGCGTTCTTTAAGGTCTGTGTTTTGTGCTAGGGCCTGGAATACGTTAAGAATAGCAGGGCTTTATTAGTAAATGGACAGTTCAGGAAAACGCAGCAGGGGACTGGGCACAAGCAAGGCTAGGAGCGAAGATGTTCCGAGTGGGACACCTCAGGGTGTGTCTGGCTGGGCTCTCCCTTTACTCTTCAGCAGGAGACTGGGAGGTAACAAAAAGGTCCAGGATACCCCTTGTTAACCTCCATTTCCAGAAGCGAAAAGAGGGTTAGTAAGGCTGCAGAAGGAAGCCATAGTCAACATCAGCTCTTAAAACTGGTGACCCACAGGCAGTAACCCTTTCTTCCTGCCATGCCGATCTGTGGACCAGACCCCCACAACCCCACCACACCTCATGATTCCTAGCTCCTCCTGTCCTTGACGAGATGCCAGTGGACATGACCCACTGTGAGTTGATTATCACCCTGGCTACACTGGACCTCAGAAGTATGCTGGTGACTTATTCATATTTGGGGAATTAGACAGTTCACTTTTCAAACACTAAGCAAACAACTTTACCTATGCACCTTGCAAGCTTATGGTCCATGGTGCTGGATGTGAGCCATGGACATAAAGCGAGACCTCTATTTCCTCCTGGGGGCTGTCAGCTCCTATATCAACCTCTCTGGCAGGTCCTGGCTGTCGGGAAAAAGGAAGCTGTGCACTTCCTTCGCTTGGCACCTCTGCACATGTGACTATAGGAAGGACACATGCTGCCGACAGTCTTGTCTGCTCCTGGACTCCACAGTGGCCTCGTTTGTCTCCTTTCTTATCGTCATTGTTGAATGTATGGGATAGAGTCTCACTCCGTAGCCCAGGCTGGACTCTGAACACTTGCCTCGGCCTCCCAGGAGCTAGGATTACAAGATTACCACATCTGGCTCTAGTTTTACTTTTCAGTGGCCATAGAGGACATAGATTATTCTAAGAACCCTTGAATCATTTAAGAAACTCTGAACAAGAACTAGGGTCATGTACCCACATATAATAATCCCTTTGAGGCAACATGTCACTGTTTTGGGGGCTAGAATCTTAGCAAAGCCTAGAATTGTGACAATTATTATATCATTATTTTAAATATACATATATATCAAATTCAGCACCTATATATTCATATATTCATTATAATAGTTCTATGATTATTCTAAAAAGAAATATTTTGAAGAAACAAGTCTAAATCAGAAATCAGAGCCAAAAAGGAAAGAAAGGACCATTGTGTTTCATCTTCTTTCTTAACTGTTGATGTGGGTGTAGACGCATCCCTTAGAAAAGGTGACGCGTATCTGGCCTGGAAACCGTAGCCTAGTAAGTGCAGCCAAGCAGATTAGCAAGGAGGCTGGACCTCTGTGAGAAGGGGAAGGGGGAGGAGGACCATGGCAAGGACTTTAGGGACCCCTGCATCAGAGGAACCTTCTAAAAGCACTTAGAGCCCCTCTGATGGGAACAATGAGAATAGTGGACCAGTGAGAAATAAATCAAAGAAAGAGTGGAAGAACCAAAGTGCCACCCCAGCTGCTCCAGCTGCTTCTCAAGGTCCAAAAGATGTCCCTTTCTCTATGGACTTAAGAAGGGGACCTGAAAGCCAGGCATGGTGGCTCATGCCTTAAGTCCCAGCACTCGGAAGGCAGAGGCAGGTGGATCTCTATGAGTTGAAGGCTAACCTGGACTACATGAGTGAGTTCCATGATAGCCATGGCTGATACACAGAGAAACCCTGTCCCGAAAAACCAATAGATGGTAGGTAGGAAGATAGATAGATAGATAGATAGATAGATAGATAGAATTTAAAGATGGAGACTCTACATATGGGCCAATAATATTTTAAAGTGTTTCTGTCAAAAATAGCATAGTTGGGCACATGACTGTAATTTAAAGCACATGGGGGTGGAGACAGGACTACATGACCACATGAGGCCTAACCTGGGCTATATCTTTAAAAAACAAGACAAAATAAACCAAAGATAGTATTGTTGGAATTGCCACCGAATGAAAGTGTCTGAGTGTCTGCAGCAAGCACTGTGTACTGCCCATCAAGGTCCATGATTAACATTATGGTGTAGCGCTAATTAATTAACAGTACATTGCTAGCATTAGACAAATAGAAACCATAAATGGACTTTTCTCCCCTCAGTGCTTATGTTGGCTTCTGGTCACATGATCCAAAAATTCAACCCTCCCACCTGACCCAAAATACAAGTCAGTGGCGCTTCAGGAATTCCAAAGCACAAGTAAAGAGAGAAGAGCAAATACGTATGTGGTTGCAAAGGTTCTCTGGCTTCTCGATAGAGAGCAGGGTTAAGGTGTCACCAGACACCTTCAGCTGCTGGGGTGGCACAGGACACAGCATGGTACCAATGGAGCCCAGCCATTCTGAGCAGCAAAGTGAAGCTGAGAAAATAATAAGTGACAATGGCTTGCGGAAACTCATCTGAGGCCACGGCAGTGGCTGTTCTGTTTGAAGCTGCAGTGACCGTCTGACAGTCCCCTCCCTCATATGACTCACCGCTGTGTCCGCGAGAGGAAAAGCGGAAGGTTTTGTCTGTTTGCTCAAATCAAATACCACTCACATATTTGGAAGAGCATTAAGTAGGATCAGCACTTTGCAGTGGAGACGGAAAATGTGTAAAGTGGAAATTTCTTGCTGCACGCGTTATTTGTTAAGTTGATCTAAACTTACGACGCCTCAGAGCAAAACCTTCCAAATGTCAAACTCGGTAAGCATTAGCCAACAAATGTCTGCAAGACTTCCACACAGACACATGCTAAAAGTTCAAAAGAAAAATTCAGATAAATTTAAAGAAAACAAACTCAGAGACTCGAACATTTAGGAAAATGCTAGCTGCTATGGTTTGGGTTTATTTTAAAAACTTAAGTCTGGAGCAAGAAAGGTTTGAGTGTAACTTGGATAATTTGTTTGCTTTTCTCCCCGAGATCCAACTAGACCCTGAGAAATCATCAATTTTCATTGTATCCATGGAAACGGACACTTGCAGGTGTCTATGAAACAGAGACGCACACACCACTTACGGATGACAGCGCGTGCTTCAGCCCGACGACCTGAGCGGAGGGCGAGGAGGAGGCGTCCAGCTCCAGCTGCTTCAGCTTCTCTCTCTCCGCCGATATGCTATTAAATGCTGACCTTAAAGCGAAGTAAACTATAAAGATATAATCATTACAAGACGGAACAAGGAAAAGGCATAATTAAAAACAAAATGCAGAAGAGTGTACTTCTTACACAAGATTTTAGCAAAGTATTCTAAGTTTGGTAAATACACATTCTACGTTGATTTTGAAAATCACTTTGAATGTATGGGAATGACAGGGTCCAGTGACAACATGTACCAATACAGGTTCTTCTGCGTTAACCGTCCCTAATCCTGTATGGGATGCTGAGAGTGGGAGGGGCCTATGTAGGTGGCAAGGGACACATGGGGATTCTGTGTGACTCAGTTTTGCTGTGTACTGAAAACTACTAGAAAAAAATATAATCCATTAATTTATATACACTGTCAATCCCCAGGCCTGTGCCTGCTGAGGCACACCATGATTTTATCACCTAGAGGTTTAAAGCCACCAGTGTTCCGTTTCATGTCCTTAAAGGCTAGAAACGGTGAGGAACAAGGCTCGTTGGCCATAGGGAAAATGTGCTCTCACTACATCAGAACAAATGAGTCTACAACTCAACCAGGTGGCCAGAATCAACTGCCAGTGAAAGCCAGGTGAACGCTGGGTACCTCTGCCTATGATGCCTTGGGAAAGTCACACTGTTCTGAAGGGCAGTCAGGGATGGGTAATCTGGGTTTGACCACGAGGGAACCACAGACAGCTGAACATTCGGTTTCTAAAAACTAGTTTGAACCCTTCAAAGGCATCGAGGTGGCGACTTTATACAAAATTGCCCTCAACCAACTGTGCTGAAGACAACGAAACAGAATGTGTGCACACGGGCCAGATCCTGTGCCCCACGGGGGAACAACATTAAAAGATGTTTTTCAGAAGTTAACTCGGTGAATGGGAGACCAAAGAGTCATTGCCCAGTGCCATGCCCTGAGTTAGAAAACTCCATTGTGCCCGGTATAGAAAGTATAAAGCCTCAAAGAACGGCATAATGACTCAGGGATCCTAGTCTCAAAAATTTCAGCAAAATAAAATCGTGTGTGTAGAAAGAGCCGGGGATAAATAACTGTAGAAAACTGCAAAAAAAAGAAAAGAAAAGAACGGATGGACAATCTGGGCGGAGTTTAGGGTTTCTTTGTTCTACTCTTGCAGATTTTCTGTGAGGCCAAAACGATTTTCAAATGAGGTGTCACCCTGGTTCTTCCTAGTGTCTTCTGGCTGCCCTGGAATTCCCCCACTTCTAATTTGGGCGTTCAGCCACTCGGCTCAATTTGGGAGCTTTCAAGTTCAGTGAGACCCCAGAACCAGTAATCACTTAAATGCCCAAGCTGGAGCTCTCAAAACAAGCTGGGAGCCGTGGGGATGGCCATGCAAGCATGAGGGCCTGAGTTCGAATCCCCAGAACTCCTGGAAAGCTGGGTGCAGCACTGCACTCTGCAATCCAACAGTGAGAAGGAGGTGGGAATGGGAGTATCCCCAGAAGTCAGACAGACTGGCATACACAGCAGGAGACAGCAAAAAAAGCCTGTCTCAAACAGTAGAGGTGAGACCCAACACTAAAAGTTGTCATACCCACACATGCATAAACGCACTTACACACACACACACACACACACACACACACACACCCTAAGTGGGAGTTGGGGCATGCATGCACATGAACAAATTAATACACACAAACATGCACACTTACACAGACATGTACACACACACTCATATACACACGTGCATGTGCACAGCACACACACAGAGATTTAAAAAAACACAGGAACAGGTATGACAAAATATCTATTAGACTCTGATCACATAGGGTACGAGTGACTCCCTGAGGATAAGGGAACGACCGCCTAAAGTACGGATCACAGAGACCACACTAGGTATTATCTTTCCATTCTCTTCCATTACAGTTTGTCGCAGAAGGGCAAGAAGGCAGGGACTGAGACAGACTTCTCCAGTGACCTGATATTTTATTAAATTTCACAGGCTTGCCTTTCCCGAGGTACTGTTATCCAAGAATGGCCTATTCAATAGCAGAAACTAAATACTCACTACCGACTTGCTTCCTTCATTTACCAGCAAGAAGGAAGACGGTTTGTTGTCTCTATATGCTGCTGCTGGCTGCCTGGCGCACTTAGTGAGAGAGCCAGAGAATCCTCATAATATCCTAACGCAAACAAGCAAATTGCGTTCTCTCCCTCTCCTCCCCTCCTCACTCGCCCCACACAAACTCACAAGCTACGGTGGCATGGCTTCTATAACCAGAAGGGAGGGGCCGATTACTTAGTCATTCTATGACCTTGGGAAAGTATCTGATGTGCCTGAACCCCAAATGGAGATACTGCTAGCTTTTACTTTATAGCTTGTGATAAGGATTAAGTAAGACAATGCAGGCAAGGTCCTGAACCTAATGCACAAATGCAATACATAATGGATGCTACCAGAAGGATAACAGTCACCATGACGAAAGAGATGCACAAGAGTGAAAGTGATGCCTACGCTCTTAGAGTCTGGGCAGGAGGGGCAACGGGCACTCAGCTCTTATCGGGATGACAGCTATAAATAAATGCACATACGGCAGAGTCTATGTGAATGAGGCCTGGCCAGAGCTTCTGAGGCAGAGAGCAGCAGCCTTGGGAGGAGGACAGCAGGCCACAAGGGACCTCACTGCATCTATGCCTGGTTAGACGTCTCCCCCCAGCTCCCCAGGATACCCGCAGCTGCCCTGCTGGGTCCCTGGGGGTCCTCCCTCTCTATGGATGCATAATTCCTCCAAATACCATGGGCATGCACCTGGCTGGCTCAGTTTTCCCAGGTCAACTGTTCTGCCTTTCAGATGCCCTGCTGCCAGGAGGGTCTTTCCACCAGACTCAACAATTCCTGAAGGACAGAATGGGCACAGTCTGTTGAGGAGTGTACAGCCAGGAAGGCTAACAACAGAGCTCACAATAGAGGGTTTGGCCAGCAAGAGCAAAGCTCTAGGTTCAGTTGCTAGCTCCCTTGTCTTCAGGAAAAGGAGCATATAGCTAAGACTACAGTGGGCATAAGCAAAAAGAAACCCATACAGTCATTTCATTATCTATCTATCTATCTATCTATCTATCATCTATCTATCTATCTACACATATATATATATATTGACACACACACATATATATTAAAAAACTCTTCCTCAATCACCTAAAAAGAGGATCATAAGCCATGTCACCTAAATTCATGTGTGGTGTGGTCTGTGTATGTGTGTGTGTGTTTTGAAAAGGGTCTCACTATGTAGCCTGAATTGGCCTCAAATGTGCATTCCTCCTGCCTCAGGCTCCCAAATATTGAGATTATCAGTGTGTTCTACCACACTTGGCCAACTCATGACTCAGAGCAGTGACTAGATGCTGCTCCCAGGAGATCATAACTACATTGCTAGAAACTGTGCTTGCTAGTCTATGTCAACCTGACACGAACTAGAGTTATCTGAAAGCAGGGAGCCTCAGTTGAGGAAATGACTCCACAAGATCCAGCTGTATGGCATTTTCTTAATTAGTGATTGATGGGAGAGCCCAGTGGGTGAGGCCACCCCTGGGCTGGTGGTCTTGGGTTCTATAAGAAAGCGGGCTGACCAACCCATGATGAGCAAGCCAGTAAGCAGCACCCCTCCATGGCCTCTGTGTCAGCTCTTGCCTCCAGGTTCCTGCCCTGTTTGAGTTCCTGTCCCGACTTCCTTCAGTGATGAAGACTGTGGAAATGTAAGCTGAATTAACCCTTTCCTCCCCAATCCCTCTTTGGTCATGGTGTTTCACTGCAGCAATAGAAACCGTAACTAAGACAGTGACACTGACTCACCAGGGCATCTCCTGTGTCAGGAGAGTCTTCTTACTTATTTTCTAATGCCATCCTAAATTTGTTAGAGACTGAAAAGCTTTGAAAAGGTATCTAAGTGAGTGTATTGCACCTGTGGATACGTTATCACAAACAAAGAAGACCAAGGTGCACAGAGCTACGGAGACCCTCAAAAATTATCCAAGCCACCCACTCCAGAGTATGACCCACCCTCTCCAGGCCCCAAACCCCTACCAAATGGTCCTTAGCCCATGCTACTCAAGCTCCACCTGCCTCCTGAGGAGGTCACAGTGCTCTGAGACCAGCTGAGGCTATGCAATGTTTGCTTCAATCGCTTTACATTGTCCAACACAGCTGCCTGACTTCATGAAATTAAAAATGAATGAAATTTATGCCCTGGCTATGCTGAAGCCTGCATGGGAAGCCCATATATGGCGGTTCTGTTGAACTTGTCCATATTGGGTTTAGTGGTCTAAGTTAATGGGAAAGACTGACCAAGTCTCTTTCTCAGGAGGGCACCAGATCTCATTACAGATGGTTGTAAGACACCATGTGATGGCTGGGGATTGAACTCAGGACCTTTGGAAGAGCAGGCAGTGCTCTTAACCACTAAGTCATCTCTCCAGATCCCAGCTTGTCTTCGTGGGGAAGACATATATTGGAAGGCTGCAGAGCGGACACAGTAGGTTTTGCTCAGTTGACTCTTCCCCTCCCTTTCCCCTCACTTCAGGATCCCATTACTATATCAGACTGGAGAGGGTCTGAGACATGGGACTGGGAAGCCATAGTGGATCATGAGCTGGAGCGCTCATCCTCCCCGAGCTCCCTCCTTAGCAGTTTCTTCACCTCCGGAGAGACCACAGTTATCCACAGCACCGGCACCATGTGGTACAGCAGGAAGAAAGTGTGTCGTAAGGCAAATGCAAATCCAGCTCCGTCCCCGAGGCTTAGTGGGGGTTTAAACTCTGGAGGAACCACCAGTGGCCAAACCTAAACAGATTGAATCTGCAGGAAAGGCTGGCATCTCACTGTGCTTTAAGGAAACAAGAAAGCACATGAGAACACAGGACCCAACGCGGCAGGACTCCATTTCTGCTTCCTGCATTTCTGCACATGTATGTAAATATATAGTTGTGTGTGTGTGTGTGTGTGTGTGTGTGTGTGTGCAAGAGAAAGAGTGAGAATGCACATGCATGCTCAGGGAAGCATCCTTTTCTGCCTTGCTTTTTGTTGGGTGGGGGGGCACAAAGGCAGAGTCTCTCAATGAACCTGGAGTCTGGTTTTATTCTGTCTGTTGGGGACTTTTCCACTAGGTTGAAGGCCAGCAAACCCAGACAGCCCCCTGTCTCTGCCGCCTCCTGTCTTTGCCTGCCTCCTGTCTCTGCGTCTGTCTCTGCCCGCCCCCTGGCTCTGTCTGCCCCCTGGCTCTGCTTGTCCCTGTCTCTGCTCACCCCCTGTCTTTGCCTGCCTCTGGCTCTGCCCGCCTCCATGCTGGGGTTACTTGAGATTATGCCCAGCGTCTAAGTGGTGCCGGGATCTGCACGTGGTACTTATGTTTGTGCAGTAAGTGTGCTGGTCCCTGAGCCATCCTTCCAGCCCTTTCCTCCTTCTAATGGGAACCATGTGAATTACCCTCAAAAGAGTAACATTCCTAAACTATCAGGGGTGGTTTGATGATCTTTAATCTGTCTCTTCTAAGTTTCAACTTTTTTTTTTTAGATTTATTTTTTATGTATACAACTTTCTGCCTCCATTTATACCCACACGCCAGAGGAGGGCGCCAGATCTCTTTACAGATGGTTGTGAGCCACCATGTGGTTGCTGGGAATTGAACTCAGGACCTCTGGAAGAGCAGACAGTGCTTTTAACCACTGAGCCATCTCTCCAGCCCCTAAGTTTCAACTCTTACGTGGTGCCCATAGTTGTAAAATATTTTCTAACCAGTATTCCATCTGAACTGATTTAGAAACATTAGTGAATTTTGCTAAATGACCCTACATTTTTTGTTTGTTTGTCTTTTTGAGTCAGGGTTTCTCTGTAGCTTTGAAGCCTGTCCTAGAACTAGTTCTTGTAGACTAGACTAGGCTGGTCTTGAACTCACAAAGATTTGCCTGCCTCTGCTTCCTGAGTGCCGGGATACTGAGCATCTAAGTGAATCCAATGTTCTACAAACTAACAGTGAATTCTAATTGTGAACAATGCACGGACCACCCTCCCCTCAGGTCATGAAGATGGTTGGCACCAAAGTGACATATTCGGCTTTTCCTTCAAGGCTTCATGGCTCAAAACAGTTCAGAAAGTGGCCATTCGGTTCCAATTTAACCCTAAAAAACACTCCGGACATGAAGGAATTCAAGTTTGCCTTTGTTCTCATTTGGGTTTTCACATCTGTAAGTGAGGATTTCTCTCATCCCTAGGACTCCAGATGTCTGCTTCTCTTCCATGCCAGAAGACAGATGTCTCCTTCTGTGGTGGTTTGAATGAGAATTTGGCTCATATATTTGAAAGTTTGGTTCCCAGTGGGGGTCCGTCAGGAAAGACTAGGAGGTGTGGCCTTGTTGGATGGGGCATGGCCTGTCCCTGGGCATGGCCAAGCACACACTCCGTTGCCTGGTGATTGTAGATACGATGCTAAACTCTTAGCTACTGCTCCAGTGCCGCACCCGCCTGCCTGCTGCCATGCTCCCCACCAGACGGTCATGGGTCAACAGGGAACGTCACAAATAACACTCAAAATCAAAGCTTAAAAAAACCTGACAGGTTTCCTTGCTGCAGCCCTTTCTGTGGATTTCCCTACCTGCAGTTCCACACGTCAAACAAAGCAGCCACGGGCAGCAGCATTTTCCAGGTGTTTTTAATCACAAAATTCGCTTTGACTTTTACCTGTCCTCTGAAATGAGAATCCCATAAAATACATTTGGGGAAATGTTAAAGCCAATGTGCGTAGCAAAAACTGTGACCTTAAGGGTCGGTGCATTCCATTCCACTTGCTTACGCGAGTGTTGACATACACAAAGCCAGAAATACACGAAGAGCAGCCCCATGCACATCTAAAAATAAATATACAGAAGAACTTAAATAACGGGGATGGGTCTCTGCTGGCTGCCTATCATGTGCTCCACAAAAGCATAATTCAGGTGTTTTGTGCCGTGTTTAATGGCACACAGGTTATGTGACATCAGTGGAATACTTGGCTTTAGTTCAGCTGCTTCAAAATAAGAGTCAAGAGACCCCCGATGCAATCGCAGGACAATAGACAGTATCTGTAACCAGTCAAGACTCACACAGGGAGAAAAGCTACCATGGCTGAGTCTGAACGGACAGATATATGAGAGGACACAAGGTGCTAGGACTCAAGGCAAACCTGTGTGTGCGTGGGCTTTGTTCCACCAGGCCCCTCTAAGGGTGCAGGAGAGGTGAGGGGGGAACTGAACATATGCAAATAGAATCGAAAGCCATGGAAGGGAGAAGAGCTGTCTAGGCTCCTATGCTCAGGCTGTGGCGCCTGGTCTGTTCCTGCAGCACAAACCTTGACCGACTCTGCAGCCTGCTGGTTTCACAAAGACCCCAGCACAGCAGGTGGTGGGGAGGGGATTCCAGACCTGTGGGAGGAGGAGACTACTGCAGGGAGCCAGGATCAATGGACACACTCAGAATGGATGGCAGCCTCTACCCTGCTAGCAAGCTGCTTCAACAGTGTAGGGAAAACCCAGATATCCCCATGGGAGAAGGGCACCGTCTCCTCAGCTTGAAATAGGCAGTTTGTGTTATTAAAAGGTCACAGTGTTTTAAAGATGTCTCCTCCCACAAATGCTAAAATGTCCTCATTGCAAGGACCTTCAAAAGAATGCCCATGAGGCACCTGAAGAGCTGGGAAGGAAAGGCACAGCAACACCTCAGCTCTCACAAACATGGGACTACAGTCCTGCTGGCCACCAAGGGGTGCACGTGGTGGCTAGCAAAGGGGTCTGAGCAAGAAGCCTGTCACAAGCATGACGTGGTGGCCTTATAAGCAATCTCATAACCAAATGGATTTTAGATTTGTCAGGAGAGAGAAAGAATATATATATTCTCTGCAGGAATCAATAATATGAAGTGGAAGAAGTCTGGGGCAAGGAGAGGAAGGTGCTAGTGGCAACGCTACTTGAAATGTTTTAAGCAGCTCTCACTGTAACAATAATAGTCACCATGTGAACGCTGAAGAGAAACATTAGCAGAGGGGAGCCGCAAGCACTCAGAACTTCAGTTTCTGCCACTAAAATAATGCTCCGCACATCCTGGACATTTAGTATACTTCCATATGCCAGGGATACATCTATTATTTCTAAACAAATGACATCAAGCCTATAACTTTGTAACTAGATATTGGAGACTTCTTTTCTTTTCTAACATTTGGCCTCCCATCCGTACGGACAAGGAGTGCACCCTGGCCTGGACCAGGCTGTAATTCAGCCTCAGGTTTCTTGGCATGTGACCCTTGGGCAGCTTTGCTACCCTCTGGTTTCCACACAGGCAGCGAAGACTTCACTCCCCACCCAAGTTTCTGCCAGAGTGAAACAAAATCGTGCATCTAAAGCACTCGGCAAACACCTGACAGGACACCTCGGTGCTCAGTGTGAGGTGCTATTATTATGCTAAATAATCCACTATATGATACACTGTACTGAAAAGTCCAGTCCTCCCTTGTCGGACACGCAGGTTATTTCCAGCCAGGGACTCTACCCACCGGGCCATATACAGCCCCACCCATGTTTACTTGAAATTTTTACTTTGAACTTGTTATGGACTTGAAGGACTTGGCACGCAGTACAGAAGTCCCTGTGCCCTGTACCCAGTTCCTCCCCATGGTAACATTCTACGTACTAACCACAGTACTATATAACCTCGGGACAGGGATGTTAGGGTAACAGAATGTGCTGATTTCTTCAGGCTTACATGCACGCAGCTGTACATACGTGTACGGCTATAGGTCAATGCGATCTTATCACACTGGCAAAGTCCTATAACCACGGCCTCGGTGGAATGCAGAGCTGCCCATCACCAGAAGGTCCTTTATAATTACAGCTATGCTACTCATCCCCCACCCTGTCCCCAAACTCTGCATCTACTAATGTCTCCTTTCACTTTATGCCATTTACAAAGTGAAGCCACAGAGGTCGTAGAAGTCAGCTATTTTCTCAGAATTGGCTACAAAATAAACTATTATTCCCTTAAAGATGATAACCGTAGTTCTGTGTTGACAGACATTTCCATAAAATGTGAGGAAGAAGGACAACTCATTTACCTTTGTGGGCGACATGGCACAGGTCCTCCTGCATCTTGGAGAACTCGGATGAGGCTTCAGAACCATCCGAGTAAGACTTCTCTTCGCCCAGGTCCAATGTTGACAAATTAGGATTGGAAGAGTGTAGTCTTACTGGACCAGAAAAGGGTTGGGGGACCTAAAGTGACAGCAAAGGGAGAGGTTTCTATTCAGACAAGAGCCTCCATGACTGGAACTGATTAAGGAAGCATCTTAGAGGTGCATCTTCCCACCAAGGGAAAACCTCGAAGAAAACTGAAGGCAAGCCCAGAAGGATGGTCTCCATGCCCCTTGCATCAGACACTACAGTGGGCAGGAAATCATCTGCTGTCTCAGAAATGACGGAAGCTTTAGAGCCATAGGTTGAAGTGACAGCAAATGTCCCCACATAACTAGGCTGTCAGAGCGAATCAGCTCCAGATAATTGTCTTTACTTGCACCTGGAGCTTCTAGAAAACAAACCCTCAGCTCATATTTGCACACGCAATGTCCTTTACTCTGAAAGCATCCAAGTTCAACCCCGGAAGGAGCACTGAGAGCTTGAAGAAAAATAGCAGAAGGGCCTGTGGGACAGAGGCTCAGGCCTGAGGACTCTAGGAGAAGATAGGCCCACTCTGAGGGATGAGAGCAGCAAAGGTAGGTCAGAGTATTAGGCCACAGCAGCCACCAGGCAAGGCACATAAGGAAGGGAGTGTCATAGACAAGCTAGATGTTAAAGAAGAAAAGACCCCAAACCCTCACAACAGGGGCAGTCCCTCCAATGTCAAGCCATTTTCCCACAGGAAAATTCCCCCTGCCCTAGTATCCTCATGGCCTTATCCTTGTAGCCAGAAGGTCTCAGTAACAGGAGTCATCTCTCCTCACAGGGTGCAGAGATGAACTCCGGAACGCTCACTTTTCCATCCTGTTTGAGTCAGGTCTCTGCTCTGGTGTGCAGCACCGCGAGGGAAGTAAGTGTGGCGGGAAGCGAAGGTTACCTGCAGCGTTCCTTTAGCATCTTTGCCAATAGCCCTGGACCGCAACCGCCTGTGTGATCGCTTTTCCTTTTTGGGACTTTCAAAAGCTCCACCCTTTGTTTCAAAAGAGGAAAGAAAGTACAGACAGTAAGGTCCACCAAAGCTACAGGGAAGTGACCAAAGCCATCCCCTTGAATTTGGCTAAAGCAACTGGATGGACAACACCCCACTGTTAGTTAGTCAAGTGTAGGGGACAAGAGAGGAGAAGAAGGCAGAAGGTGAACCAAAGAGCAGTAGGCTAACCTGGATGGCATTGATGGCCGGCGCCGAGTATGTCCGATGCAGGACGTCCATGCTCTGTAAGAGCTGGCTCATTTCAAGCAGATACGAATGGCAGTGTGCCAGGTCTGCGGGAGGGAGGGCAGATGTTCACAACTGTCTACTAGCACCAGGGAGTACCAGTCTCTGTATCTCTGTATCTGTGTATTTGATTTCCCACTTTACATCCTCCTCTCCACACACAGAAAAAGCCATAGATGATAGTGGTTTATGACATAGATCTAGGTTGCCTTGATTTAAATCCAATTGGCCAACTGTACCTCAGTTTTCTCATATGGGAAACGGGGACAATTACACATGTAGCCACAGAGCTGAGCATTAAATGATTTGGTGTGTGCAGAGGGGTCAACCATGGTCTACAGTAGCAACTGAAAACAGGGGCCACCCCCACACCGCCGCAGCAGCATCCCTAGTCCAGCCAGCGGCAACAGGCACAAAGTTGTACTGGTATCTGGGGACCTGCCTATGCAGATGGGCCTCAGCTGGCAGAAGAGCATGGTTAGACAAAACCCTAGTCACTAACTCAAGAAACAGCCCAGTCCATCGCTGACTGTGATGGTGTCTCTGCTGAGCAACGGAGACCTGTATGCTTCAACATCGTAGCTCTCAGGCTTCCAATGCACAGAATCCCCCGGCATGCTTGTGAGTCCACAGACTGTAGGCTCTATCCCCAGTTTATGGGTCATACAACTTGTTTGGGCCTTTTTAATAAAGCCAGGCCAGCCTGCTGATGCTGGTCCTGGAACAAGTCTCTGGGCTAGGGCTAGTGGGCGGAGCTAGTAGGTGACAGGGATGGAGTGAGAGAAACTGCGTGGTCAGTGGGTACCACATCTCATGTGACACAGCAAAGGCTGCCACTGATAACTTTGTCCACTAGTGCCTCTAAATGAAGGACATCCTGCAAAAACTCTGTGTGTGTGTGTGTGTGTGTGTGTGTGTGTGTGTGTGAGCGCGTGTGGGCTGTGGGCATGCGCATACACGTGTGTGACAATGGACAACCTTTGGCCTTCACCGGGCTCTCTATCAACTTTGTTTTCCAAGGGAAAGTCTTTCACTGGCCAGAGTTTCCCCAAGTAGTCTGAGCTTGTCTCACCCCAGGGATCCATCCATCTCCAGCTGCCAGAGCAGGAAGGCCAAGTACACATGGCCACATCTGACTTCGTTTGTGGGTTCTGGGTACCAAACCCAGACTCTCGTGCTTGCACGGCACATACTTTATGAACTTAGTTCTCTCTCCAGCTCCCAACTTAATTTTAAATTGTTTGCTCCAGGCCTCCCCTTAGACAATTAAATCTGAACTCTCTATCCCGTTAGGCATCTCAGTCTGCTTCCCCGGCTGAGCTGTAGCTGATTGTGGTTGAGAACAGTGAGTCACCTTGTGGAGGAGTGATAAATCCTGTCTCCTTGTCAGAGTCAGTCAAGGTGTGTAGGGAACAGGGTCATCCGGGTGGCATCCCAGGCAAATTTAAACAGCATATTTGGGACAGAAGCGTAGGTATGGGCGCCCTCACACTTGAAAGGGTCCCGATGGCTCAGCAGTTAGGGTAAGAGTGTATACTGCTCTTCTAAGGGACTGGCCTTCACCCACACTGAGCAGGTCACCAACACACCAGGAACTCTAGCTCCAGGGGGAACTGACGCCCTCTTCTGGCCGCTGCGGGCACCTGCACTCAGACACACATGCCCCTCTCCCAACACAAATAAGACAAAATGGAAAATAAAATAAGATCTTTAAATGCTCTCTCCATGACTCTAGTGTGCAGCCGTGCTGGAGAACGCTCAGCTGGGCATTCTCCATCTGGCCGCTTACACTTAATCAGTGGACACCAACTCTACATTGGCTGTAGTGGCATTTCATTTGTATTTTAATAAAGAAAATTTGCCTGAAGATCAGAGAGTAAAACAGCCCCACTGGTCAGCCTTACAGACCAGGCAGTGGTAACACACACCTTTAATCCTAGTAGCCACACTGTTTGCCATAGAAACCGGGCACCTTTAATCTCAGTGGTGCAATCTTTAATCCCAGCCCTAGAGAGGATTATAAAACGGAAGGAAACAGCTTTCTCTTGGTCTTATCCTGAGATTTCTGGAGGCAGGATCACCACTTCAGACTGAGGAAGTAGTAAGAGCCAGTGACTGGCTGCTTTGCTTTTCTGGTCTTCAGGTTGAACCCTAATTCCTCTCTCCGAGTTTTTACTAATTGTGCTTCAGTTAGGTGGGCAGCAGAGTCCTTTTTGGCACTTACAAGACTGTGAGTGAGCTGCCAGCCCCCACCCTTGGGGACACAACTTATGACCCCCAGGAAGAATCCGTGCATCCATCCCAGGACTAGACTAGGAAGTCTGTCTGCATCCGGGTGAAGACACTAAGCTCTGTGGGGAGAGCATGTTGGCTAACGATGATGAGGCCGATGAGGCCTTCATCAGCAAAGCTAGGGATGGAATGCAGATGAGTGACAGCAGGGACACACGCACGTGAAGGCCACGCCATGCACGCATGACCCCAAAGCCATGGCAAACGAAGGGTCACAACAGCTTTACCTCTGGAGCATTTTTCCATGTCCTCGGAAGGCTGCAGCCAGAACGGAACCCGTGTGTCACCACCACAAGAAAATGACAAGTTGCTTCCCGTTTGAAATGAGTTCTGCTTCGACAGACTGCTACGCTGCTCATGAACGACAAGAGCGGGTTAGAAATCAAAACAGAGCGTGGCACGGACAGCTTCTAAGGGAAAGGATAACGGGGTGATTTGGGTAGAACCTTCTAGCAAAGGCCCCAGGAAGAGACCATGATACCTGTCTATCACCCAGCAAAGTCACACCAGGCTCCATGGCCTTGGGTGACAGTCCTTATCTTCTCCTATGAAATGGCGATACCATAGTGAAGATATGTTGGGAAAGAGTCTGCAATCCTGTATGGCTGTATGCATGCTTAATTAGCTGCAACCAATAGCCAGGGAGAAAAACCAAAGTCACTGTGGCTGAGAGAAAACCCAAGCCTTCAGGAATCTCCTTGCTTGAACTCCCTATCTTACTTAATCCATGCTAGTTATATCCCGGGTCAGACCACTGGTCAAGAGACTAGTTAAACACCACCCCAACTTACCCTGCTCCACCCACAAACCTTCCCTCAGATGCACTCCCAGAATGGGCCTCTCTGTTCCCTCGGACTCGGTCTTGGCACCCCAATCATCATTACCTTCCTACTGGAAATGGAGTCGAACACTCCTGGGGCAGAATCTGTGACCGTGGGCCCTGGGAAAAAGTGACTGACGTCCCGGGGAAACATGGCAATCTCATTCTGCCGGTACATTCTGTGGTGGCGGAGCTTGGATACCCACTCGTCAAAAACTTCGTCAGACTTCACCTACAGGTGTTAAGATGAGAGATGTCAAAGAGAGACACTGGCTGAAAGGATCAATTATTAATTAGTGATTAATCAATTATTAAAATGAGGCCACTCCAGACCTGCTCTTTTGGAGCTGGCGCACACGGAAGAGAAGAAATCCCGTGTATTGCCTTGGTTTACATCTATGTGGAGAACACTTGGGGAAGAGGCATTGTCACAGAACACATAGTCTTGTTTCCTCTGAGATGCTCTAATAGCCATGCAAAGAGGGCCAGCTTTATTAAACAACAAATAAGCTAAAACCCACATTTGTCTCCTGAAACATTTCCAAGTTCTGGAGCCTGAGACTTGCCACCTCCCCTCCCACCCCGGAATGTATCAACTCTGTTCTTCATTTAAACGCTTGTAGCTCAGACTTTGCAGCCAGACTGAACTGGAATGAAGTAGGGAAGACCCTGAAACACTGGCCTGTATTAATCTACCCTGACAAAAGATGCATGGCCTAGAAGTAGCTGTTAACATATGTGAGCGTTAGCCAAAAGGGCATTTTTGCCATTTGCAGATAAAGAAAAGTATCTGACAAAGCATTGTTGAGTATTGTTGTTGTTGTTATATGCAAGTTTATCCATTCTCTCCATAAATGAGGAAAAGTAAATTTCTACTTTCCAGAAAAAAATGTTTATAATTAGCAATTTTCATTTAAAAAATATTTTTGAGACAGTGTATTGGTATGTAGCCCAGACTGGCTTCAAACTCACTATGTAGCCAAGGCTGGCCTGAGACTTACTACATAGTCCAGGCTGTACTTGGACTTGAACTTAGGAAAAACCCTTCTGAATGCTAGGATTACAGGCAAAACACCACAGCTGCTATAATAATTTTTATCAAGAAACAATTCAAATGCTCATAAATGTGTTAATAGTAACATAGCAGCCACGTTTATACTGTAGACATTTCTTTAGTCAATATTTTTGTGTATATAAGAGATCTTCCTAATTTCAAAGTGAAAAGTGAGTTACCTAGACATGAGGATATAGATTCGTAAAGCCGTCATTTAAAATAACTCAGAAAGGTGTGTGTGGGTCAGTCGGCTGCCAGGCCAGCACTGGGACAGTCCTCAGACGATAGTTGCGAGGATATAGATTCGTAAAGCCGTCATTTAAAATAACTCAGAAAGGTGTGTGTGGGTCAGTGGGCTGCCAGGCCAGCACTGGGACAACCTCAGACTGCAGCTGGGAAGCAGGGCAGGCAGACAGACAGCGGTGGCAGCGTTAGAGAATTGTGAACCCGACTCTGTGGTGTTAGAGACACCTGAAGATGGAGGTTCCTCCTTAGCGCCTGTCTGCAGGGAGCCGCAGCACAAATAGACACACATCTGTCTCCTCTGCACTGTGAGCTCCTGAACGGATTTCATCCCCCAGATGTACTGAAGAGGGTAATCTTGTCATCCTTGCACCGATCGACTCCCCAAAGCCCTGACAAGCCAGTGCCCAAAGATTTCATCTTGACTCATCTTTTATTGGTTAAACAAGGAGAGGAACATGGCACTTTATTAAACAGCTAGCCCCAGGTCTAAGATAGGCCTGCAGTAATTCCAGGACTCTGGCTAAGCGCTTTCTTAACTACTCTTTTGCCCAGACTCCTCAGGTATAAAATGCGAGAGAGAATCAAGTCAGGAGTGGTGACACATGCCTTTAATCTCAGCACTCAAGAGGTTTGTGATGTTGTGTGTGGCGGGCGGGGGGGGTGGGGGTGGGGGTGGGCGATTAGGGATAAAGAGGGGTAGGGAGCCTGCAGCTAACAAAACGCCCACATTACAAGCCAGAGTTGACACTCAGGGATGAATGAGAAACCAAGCAGCACTTACACTGCGTCTCAGAGAATCACCCTGTCTCATGGCGTCACGTCCAACGCATCTTAGGCTCAGTCTTTAAAAAGCAGACCTGAGTGGTCACTTCATTCTGCTAACTAGAACTGCCGATAAGCAAGGATTCATTACTTCCCGACCATGTGAAAACACAGAATGACGTCACGGGACCAATACAGGAAAACAACATCAACTCTTCCAGAAGAGATTAACCATGGTCGGCTGGCAGGGGAGCAGTACATTCTCTCAACTATTTTATATAATTTTATATAACTAGAGGGTTTTCTCTCCTTTACTTTGCCATAGTTATTTCACTTGGGAGATTTTCTCTTTCAGGGGACACTTGGAAAGACTTGGAGGCAGTGTGGCTTGCTACCACTAGAGAAGAGACGCCACTGGCACACAGTGGTAAGGACCTAACCACAACACCCGGGACAGTCCCACAGCAAAGAATCACCAGCCCACGGGGTCAGCAGAACTGCTTTACACACCGAACTAACCCAGAATGCGGGCTTAGATTAGGGGACAGATGTGAGATTTGCACGTGAGGAGAGGACAGGGACAGGGGAGAACCTTGGTTTTCCCAGCCTCAGTCCTGTTCCCTAAACATCAAGCAGCCCTGCCCAAGCAATTCTCAGTTTATCTCCAGCATTCAGGCACTGCCCAATAATTATACAGCGTAATTAGTCTTACTAAACTTACTGTCCCCCAAGGAATTACAGCAAACCTTATAAACCTATGAGCACGGCCTGCACATGAGCACTGGAATCACCCTTCTTACCTTCTCTCCTTCCCTCCCTCCCTCCTTCCTTCCTTTCTTCCTTTTGGTAAGGTCACAAAACAAAACAAACACAAACAAACAAAACAAGATTTTTCAAGCATTTGATGACTGGTCAAAGTTGAACAGTTAGTAAGCAATCCGATGGTAAGAACTGATGTTGCCCTGGGCATGATGTAACATCACTCACCTTCAGGAGAAAGATAAGTGGGTAAGAAGCTTTGAGACTTAAGATTTACAAACTCCTAGTTTAGGAGAAAAAACCCTGATGTTTCCCTACAATATGAGGATTTTTACAAAGTGTTTATAAAACGGGCTAAAGTCACAAGTCATGGCCCCACACAGTAAACATTATACTCCAGAGAACCTATTTTAGTCTAGGGTAGATGGTTCTATATATATTAAAGGCATACAACCTGGGGGAAGGGGAACAAGAAGGTGTCTTTGCTATTGACTGCTGTCACTGGGGAGGAGTGGTAGCATTTGGGAAATGGGGACAAGGACTTTCACTCTTCGAGCAGTGTGAGAGACAGTTCTGCACAACCAAGAAAAAAGCTGGCCCACCCATGCTAACATCAATAGTATCCCTTAGGGATGCTTTAGGGACAAAGACTACCCACATGGTGAATAGTTGTCCCCATGTCACCACCAGCAGCATGGTAGTGGACAATCCCTTCACCGTAGAAAGGCCTCTGCACAGCAAAGCTGGGAAAGCAGTACCTGAGCCTTGGCTACCCAGGAAGAGGAAGCTGGGGACTGTTGGAGCCCAGGAGTCTAAAGCCCAGGCAAGATAGCAAGACTGTGCCTCGGACAACTCCACAACCAGCAAAAGCCCTGGTGGCAGCTGCTCAGTAGGAGCCAGCCCTGGCTGGGGCTCACCTTCAGGTGATAGATGTGCTCCTCGGTGTCAAGATCGATACACTTGGACGACTTCTTCACAGACATCACTGAAAGGCCCACATCAATGCAGCCATGCAGCTTCTCTCGCTCAATCTACAGGAGCAGGAGAGGGCTATCTGAGAGTCACAGTAGTCAAGGTGGTTGGAACATCCTCCCTGGTCCCCTCCCACCTCATCTTGGTCATGCACCAATGATGAACCTGGACACCACGATGATGGAGTCCTCCATGCAAGCAGGACCCAGTTAAGAACTGCGCATGTGTGACATTCTTTCTCTGTAAGGGAGACACACTCGCCGCACACCACAGAAGAGGGGGCTGAAGGGCAGAAGCTAAATAATGAGTTTTCATAGTCAGGATGCAGGGCAGTGAGAAGAAAACCCCATGAGGTGACTCCAAGGCAATGCAAGAGCCATTACCTTCCCCTGGATTAGTGTCTGTTGTCAATTCATTCATACGTGACTTTAAAGGAAGGGTATAGTCGAGAAACTAAGGAAGACCAGAAGGGCAGGGAGAGAGGAGAGAAGTGCCCTATGAGGCAGGCCTGTTGGTCCCTCAGAGCCCTCCAGGACAACCTCTTAGGGTTAACTCCAAGCAGAAGTCCACCTTAACCATGGCTTTCTCCATGAAGCCCCCCAGTTGCCAGAAGAGGGGAAGGACAGTTGGCACAAGCTCTGTTCCTGTAATTAGCTAAGACCAGAGCAGGCTATGGTACCCAGGATGCTGCCCTGCACCTTCTCCTGGTAGTGAACGGAGCCCACCTAGATCCTGAGCTAAGGCAGCGGGGATCAGGGTGTGTGGAGAGGGGGCTCTGTGCCACCTGGAAAAACCATTACCCACAGAGAATTGCAGCTCTGGGCTGACTCTAGCAGCCTGCACTCTTCTGCAATAGCATGCTGGGCCAGGAAGAAGACTTACATCAGTTTGGCTCTTGGCATATTTCAAGATTCCTTTGTCCAGGTAGAAGAATCTCTGTGAGAAGCAAACAGAGTTTAGTAAGATGCACACGTTAACATTCCTCCTCATCACCAACTTCTAACAGAGTAACACCGAAGGCTTACCTTGTGCCAGCCTTTCAAGGGCCACTTCCTCTTTTTCAGCAGAAATCCTTTCTGCACGGGCGGCTCCTGGGTGTACGTCATCTCCCCCCTCAGTCCTTCCACCACTTCCCAGCTGTCCTGTTCCAATGAGAGAGCACAGGCTAAATGTCACTCCTTTACGAGATAGTAACAGGAAGCAGCAAGCTCCTGGAAAACCATCCAAGATGGAGAACCTGACAAGGTTCGATAGGAAGAAATTAAATCTAATGCCCATACATCTCTTGGACTTTAGAGATCCAATGCTGTAGTTTAGTGGCATCAATTTTTTAAGCTCTTTTTCTTGAAGGACCATTTCCTTTTTCAGTCTTCTTTGAACCTCGGCAGCACAGCTGAAGGGGAGGATCTTACTATAAATGCTATTTTCGTTTGCCTTCATGTCACCACGCGGTGACTGTTCAGCCAGCAGACATCAGTCTGAACATTAATCGGAAGCCACAGATGTCAGGATAGAACTATATATGTCTGTGCACGTGTGCATATGTTAAGGGGCACCTAAAGAAGGGCTGAAATGTGGGGCTAGAAATATGGTTTAGCAGTTAAGAGTACTTGCCGCTCTGCCAGAGGACCTGAGTTCAGTTCCCAGTGCCCACATCAGGCAGCTCACAACTACTCCAGTGATATGACCTCTCTTGTGAACTCCACAGGCACGACACATGACACACACTCACACAGACACATAAACGTGAATAAAATCTTTTGAAAGGAAATACCTGCAAAAATGGGATTGGATACAAGCTAGTAAATCTTACAAACTGACTGGAAATAATGGTTCAGGGTAAGTGCTTTCAAATACTAGGGGTTTAAGTAGCAGAAATGCAGAAACATCAGAAAGAGAGTTTGGTCACAAGTATCTTCACCCTTTCCCCCAGAAAAATTTTGCACCCCCACTTCTTGTCCAAGAGACTTCTATTTCAGATATGCTATAATCCCAGAACTTGAGAAGCGGAGGCAACTGACGTCATAGAGCAATAAATAATAAAACGAATGATAAGAACAGCAGCAAAATCCTTGTATTTTGGGCCTGGATTCTTTTCAGCTTTGATGGGGCACAAATGGCTGCTTTAATTGGTGCTCCATCATTGGCTATTGAGGTCATGAATTGAACACAAATTTGAAAAGAAAAAAAGGAGAAAAACGTTAAAAATTCTAAAAATTTCTTTAAAATACTTAAATCATTGCTAAATCTGCACAAGATAACCCCAGAACTGATGATATTCTTGTAAATATGATGGATGGTAATGATTAATTCGGTCATAATATACACAGAATACACAGAGACTAGAATACAACTTGAAGAGTCTGAATACACACATTAGACATTATATATATAAAAAATTTCTCACATCGGGTAATATAGCTTTGTACACATAGGATTCTAATATTTCATGTAAACACCCTGCTCTGAGACAAAGTTCCAACCCTTGGGCAGATGGTACTGGCAGAGGCCACAGGAGTTAGACAGTGAGTCTGGACCAGCCCCAGGGAGCAGGGCAGGTAGCGGTCCTGCAGGGCTCTTTTCCAGGTTTCCCAGAGTGCAGTACACCATCCCTAGCAACAGGATCCTTCCCAACATTAGCAACTGAACTCCTTGGTAACCTGCTTCTTATCTGAGCCCTTCCCACTGTGACTGGAGATGAAGGTGCATCCCAGGTTTTTTAAATAATCACTGTAGGTATCTCAGAATCTGGAGTTCTAAAAGGGATTTCTTCAATGAAGAAAAAAAAGAAGTGTGTGTGTGTGGGGGGGGGATTCAGTGTTTAATTTAGAGAAACTTTTTGACATGGAATGAGATCTTGCTATAACCATCATCAACTGTTCAGTCGTTCAGGCATGCCCAGACGATAACTATGTCTATTCAGTGATGAGCAGTACACGGTCTTTCATGTAGAACAATCCTGCTCTCATTTACTTCCCAAGCAAAAAACAGGAAGCGGCAAGCTCCCGAAAAACCATCCAAGATGGAGAACCTGGCGAGGTTCTATAGGATGAAATTTAAATCTAATGTCCATACATCTCTTGGACTTCATAGATTCAATGCTGTAGTTTAGCACAAAAGTTTCTGTGCCCCTCCTCAAAGAAAAGTCAGTCTTCATCCCCACAACTCCATCACACCGGTGTTCTGCCATTCTTGCCATGGTAACCTGGTAACATGATAACGTGGTAACATGTATGAGGTTTCATTATCCCTACAGAGAAGGTGCCCCTTGAGAGCACAGAGGGCCCAGCGTACTTTACTTTTCCTCCTGTCTTGTGAACAGCAGGCACCTGACGAAAAATTACTGCAGTCTCGGAACAAAGCTACGGGCTCATGTTCCTGGAAGACTATCGTGTGGAACACATTTGAAGCATGCCCAGCGTCCCTGGGCCAAATGACTGTTTCCAAATTAGATACAACCGATCCATATTTGTAAACGATGGGCGTGTGTTGGTATCATTACATGAGAATCCAAGGGCCCAGTCCTCTGGAAAGTGCTCCGGGGGATCAGCCTTTCGGAATTGTTAGTCTTCAGCCTCCCAAGCAGAAGGCTACCTGCAGAGCACTCCAGCTGAAGGACTGGGCACATCTGTTCTGTCCCTTCAATTGTGCTCAGTGCAAATGCCAAGAGGGAGCAGCCATTATTACATACTTGTCAATCTTGGGGGACGGCAGAGGCCAGAGAAGTAGATGCGGTCTTACCTGCTGCTGAATGGGAAAGGATTGAATTTCAAAGGTGGCTTTTTTTAGACCCGAAATGTTCCACAATTCTACATCTATGGCTTATTCCTCCCAGCCAGCTGGCGTGGAGGCCAGGGGGCTAGAGTAGGTTCCCTCGCTCTTCACTCCACTGAGCCAGGAAGGGTTTGTAATTTTTCCCCCTGATAAATGTCATCTTTTTTTTTTCTCATTCTATCTTCCTCGTAGGTTTGAAAGTGGTAGTAGGCTGGAAAAGGCAGATTTGCACCACAAAGAAAGGGCAGTCTCTCCTGGGCTAGAGGAGAAGGCCTGGAAGCTTTCCCCTGGCTCCATATTCATTCAAAAGCTCAGTGGTGACAGGAAGAAGCAGCCCCTAGCTCTGAGGTTCTCAGAGGCCTGAGGCTGCACCCACAAAGCTGGGAATCCTGGGGCACTAGTAATTACTAACTGTGTTGGGAAGAAATCTCTAGCATCTTGGCTTCAGGTGACAAAGAGAAACTTCCTGACTCCTCAGTCTTGCACCACGACAGGTTGTAAGGAACAGCTTACAGTCACTTGACCTTGAAGGGCTGGGGCTCAGCCCTAGAGTCAGCCAGGTAGTGAACTCAGTGGTAGCTATTCACTGTGCTTTACCAAAATATTTACCATTCAATTAACTTGTTGTTGTTGTTGCTTTTTCATTTGAGCTCTGGTGTTTTCTTCCTAAACTATCATAGAGATCATTGACTTCAGTTTCTGTACACACATGGTAGGGGCTGAGAGACTTCTCCCCTTGCTATTTGTTCCAGTCCCCAGGCAAGAAAATAGATTAAACTGTCAATCAAGTCAATGACACTATGTAGTTGGCTTACAAGAAGGGGTTAAGTTGTAGCCACAGTTCATGACATGCCTCGAGAATCACAAAATACTCAACAAACAGTAGGGGTGTTTGAAATAATACACAAATGAACCATATAACAACATTAGAAGGATTGGAGAGCACATTCTATAGATCCACAAAATCGTGAGCCTTTTAGTCCATAGTGGATATTAATAAACACAGTGAGAATCAGGGAAACTCTCTTAGTGGCTAATATCACAGTCTACATACTGTGAGCTGACACACACTTAGATTACATGCCTAACCCTCGCATAACCCTTCACGAGTCGTTTACTAAGGTTCTTATTTTTTAAATGTAGAAAACGAGAAAAAGAATAAATTCCTTGATATAGTAAAGCTACCAAGTGGTACCCTGCATGGCCACCTATGAGTTTATTATTATGCTATCATTTTAAAATGGTTTTCCTTCTATACTTTAGATGTGTAAATCCCAATGGTGAACAAAGAATAAGTCCTAAGGGGTAAGGGGACAGCGGCGGGTGAACCCTGGGACTGGCTCATCTCCTGAGACAACTGGAAGGAGTTAGGAAGCATCAGGCCTGCTCAGAGTTCCCAGGGCTCTGATCTCACAGGGCTAGCAAGTGTGTAAGAAAACGGACCATGCATCTAATGCTGCTGACCCTTTGTGTACTTGCTCCTTCATGCGTGGAATCTCCTTCTCTGGTGAATTTTCATTTCTCCCCAAACCTCTGCCTCCCTGAAAAAAGTCCCCACCTTATCTGAAGTCAGGCAGTAATAATACAAACCCAACTCACACGGCCTGCTTGCCAAGCTCCAACGTGGGTTCCTTGTCTTACTGTAACCTCGTTCATGATCATCTGTGTCCTCTGGAAATAACAGCTGAACAAGCCTGAGAAAAGGAGTGTACAGAAAGGGCCCTGAGTGCCCACAAGGTGTGGGATTCAAGTGAATTGCTGTCCAAAGCAGGAAAAGGGGGAGGGGATCAGATATGGACTGGGGAGATGGTTCCGTGGATGAAGGTTGTTACTATCAAGTCTGAAAACCTGATTTCGAGTCCTGGAAGCCCACAGGGTGGAAAGAGAGAACAGACTCCAGGAAATTGTCTTTGGATCTCCCTTCAAGTGTCAGAGCAATGCATGTATGCACATGTGCATGAATGAACACACAAACACACCAATGTAATAATAAAAATAATTTTGAGATACTAGTGTTCCAGGCTAAAGGGATTGGGGAGAGACACCTGATGCCCTACACATATCATGCTGATTTGAAGGTAGGGCACACACTTTGAGTAGAATAAATATCTAAGACACTACATGACAGATTTGGGCCACCACAGAGACCAAGTACTCCAACGGTTAACTCTGCTGACTGAGCCCAGCATGCCTGGGTTAACGTCCCATCCTGCATGGATTAGGCTGAAAGGTCATCTTGAATATGAGCTGGGGAGTGAACCAGCTGGGACGTCTCAAGACTTCTGCTAAAGCTCAGCTGAAGCCAGTCTGGCAGTCATCCGGCATTGAATTCAGGCGATCTTACAGAACATCTAAGTGCCAAAGATAG